TATTTTTTCAAATAAAAGATCTTGATCTGTACGGGTTTACTTCTGTTCTGCCACCATCCAATATGGTGTGACCTGTATTTATGGGTCATATTGAATTGGGTTGTGACAACCACAATGCTACGAGTGGAGCTAGGTAATTTCATTCTTATTTTTCATGCTTAACTTGAAAATAAAACAAGGCGAGAGTGTAAGAGAAGAGATTTGTATAGTTTCTTTCAAATTTAAATAATAAATTTCTTGATGTGATATTGCTCCATAGTTTTTTCAGATTCCGTTGCGTGATTTGTTTCCCAAAAATCTTTACACTCTTCTTCATTAAAAAAAATATATATATTTTTTTAGAGTTAGATGTAATAATTGTACTAAAATATTACTAAAATATGAATTTAGATGCAATAATTTGTCCTAGATTATTAATAAAATGTGTGTGTCATAATAGTTGACTTGTATTCTGTCCGGACCATTCCAAAATAGAGACTTTCTAAGCAACATTTATTACAAAATATTTTATTCGAAGGTGGCTGAGTGAGGACCGCACATTTTCCCATTTCAAAATTTGTTATTTTATTTCCAAAGCACCAATGAAAATCTAAGTTTGAATTTCAAAGCTCGAAAATTCAGCAGAATAATAAGAAAGGTATTTTTATTTGAGAAGGAATTTGTTGTAAAAAAAAATTATTATTTTACAAATAAAAATAAAGGATTAATAAACTATTTTTAAATCTATCCATTTTTTCTTCTTTTTTAAGTTTATGCAAAACAGAATCAGAACAACTAAAATTGAATTGAAAATATTAATTTGCTCAAACAAAAGTGTATCACTTCATAGTTCATACATTAGTTTTTTTTTTTCAAAATTGAAAATTGAAAATTGAAAATTGCGTTTGAAAAAAGAAAAAGAAAACTAAATTATGTGGTCTAATTCTATCGTCATAGTTAATTTGTTGGAGGGCTATAGTCGAGCAACAATGATTATGTGACTCTAATATGACGGTTGTGTTTGGAAGACTGTTATCGAGTGACGATAAAAAAAGGGATTATAGTTATGAGATGATTGTCAAGATATCTTAGTATAGCAATTGTGAGGGAAGGATGTTGTCAGGTGATGGTGTTTGGAGGATGGTAGTGAAGCAACGATGGTCATAAACTTTGATTGATGGTGATTAGGATATATCTTAGGCTTCGTTTGGGACGGCTTTATTACTGTTTCGTAAAATAGCTTTATTGTACAAAAATTAAAATTTTTATACTATAAATCTGCTTTATGAAGCAGAAAGAAAGACGTCCCAAACGAAGCCTTAGTCTAAGGGGTGTCAAAATGAATTTATAGGTTGAATTTGTGTCCAACGCGGGATTGATCCAGTATCATCTTGTCTAACCTGAGAATCCGACCCGATTAGGTAAACGTGTCATAAACTTGGATCTGAATCCCACCTAGGTACAACCCAACTTGACATGACCGACCCATCGACTTGGGCGATGGTAGTTGAGTGAGTGTTGAGCTAGAGTGCGATATGGGCAAGTGCGACTGTGCGGGGCGAGGGTGACAAGGGAGGGCGAGCGTGAGTGAGAGGGGGATCCAGAAGTTGGACGGTGACGCAGATGTAGATGCGAGCTTCGGGATGGGGGACGCAGGTCAAACTTGGGTCAATTCCAAGTTATCGACTGACCTGAACACGACTTGATTTTAAAATGTGTTGAGAATTAGGGTCCAAACCTAACCCATTTGTTAAATAGGTTAATTGGCCGAACCTGGATTTTGTGGTTGAGTTTTCGGGTCGTTTTATATATTGACACCCCAAGTTAGTTTGGTTAGACATGTTAGCGGATCTTAGTCAGCGATAATAGTGCGATTGTGAAATTCTGATGATGTGATAAAGTGGTGGTCTGCTTGTGTTGATTGGGAAGTGGTTTGATGATTGTGTTTGGACTGTTGGTTAATGGCAGTGTTATAGCGATCTTTCATAACTATTAAAAATTTAAAACATCATAGCTCCCTTAATCTTAGGATAAAGTATAGCCACTTTCATGTTGAAAGTATGAGTCTAGTTATATTTTTTTTTAGAGTTGCATCCCTTGTAAATATGGCTAAGATCTTGAAAACTTATTCAAATGATGAAAGTCAATTGGTGCCTTAATAATATCGTTCGGGTTAGGCAGCTGAAACATGATCAATCTTGGCTTGGAATCGAACCTAATCATATCCTAAAACCCATTTTGACACCCCTAATGATAAGCAAAATTGAACATGAGAAAAAAAAAAATCCATTGACTCAAAATTAGTCCTAAATTAATTAGTATATCTAAATATTTATTATTATGTGATTAATATGCATATTATTTTTTGCATTCTTGTCATCTAAATAAATACTTTTAAATTATTCAATTTATGTTTCAGCCTACAATTTTTTTTTTTAATTTTCTTAATGTTTATTTAAGAGATATAATTAATTTACCATATTTGCAATAATTAATCAAGACAAAAGAGCTATTCAAAGCACGATGATAAATATAATAAATATGAGTTCTTATTTTTTTTAATCTAAACTCACTTTGCTGATTAATTATAGGTAGGGCACCTTTGTTACAGTCACCGAAGGTGAAATGACAATCACTGACCGCTCATCAGTTGAAAAGTATGAGCACATGAGTCAAGCTGATCCATGTCAGTGGGCTTTGGTCAATAATTACTGATGAGTCAATCTCACTGATCTAAATTCGTTAATTTCGATATTTTTAAGAAATTAATATTAAAATATGCTTAAATATATATTAAGATTCAGGAATTTAAGTATCAAGTTATTACAAAAATTTAAAAACTAATTTCTTGTTAATTAGTCATTTTGTTATATTAAGTGATTTATTTTTATATATTAATTAAAAAATTATCTTGATCGGGCACGAATATCAAGGCAAAATCAACTTGAAAATTTAAAAAATTAAATTCAGGATCATCTGAACTTTGATTTCGACAAACTTATAGTCGAGCTAAACGTTTCAAAAATACGAACACAACGACACCAAATTCGACCTCATTCAAGATAGAATGGGTCCAAATTAAAGACTCACAGCATCTTTGGAAGGTTCAAACCATAATTTGGAATTCCAAATGGTTTCCAAACGTGACATGTTTATAGTCAAATCAAGCGAATCGACGAGACGAATCCAACGAGCCAAATATCGTCAAATTCTTATATCATTAAGACATTCAAATGTCCAAACAAACAGTCTATGATTGGGGGAATCAACATCGGCCATCCATTCAAACCACTCCCAATATACACTTGATATTCTTCTTATTTACTGGCCATGCCATTATTAGAAAACTACAAATAAACCCCTCATTCTTCATTGAGGGGAAAAAGGGGCCCAAAAAAGAAGAGAAAGAAGAGCCCTATTGCCACCAGACTCCTCATTAACCACCGTCGAACTTCAACCGGCCTGGCAGCCGACCGGCGCCGAATTTCTGCCCGACTGCTAATCGACACCAGAGTGTTGCCCGACAGCCAACTAACACATGATTTCTACCCGGCCACCAGACTTTCGTCGAACTTCTATCCAACAAGGGACTTTTGTCCATCACCAGACTTTTACCCGACTGAGGTTCTTTCGACCTCTGCCGCTAAACAATGGTCCTTCCGACCACCGTCACCTGATTACAGTCTTTCTGACTGCCATCGCCCACCAACTATGATCTTTCTGACAAAATGAACACGCCAACAATAATTATTTGTAATATTCCTACCAAATAATGTACTCCATATGATGTACATCAAGCCAAGGCCTTCTCCCCAAGGAAGGGCCTCATTTGTAATCGACTGCAAATAATAGTCGATTCATTCAAATCGGACCAGACCTCGGGGTTTTTTTTTTCCCTTTTCATGATTTTCCATGTAAAAATCTTGGTTCTTTTATTAATACCGCATCCTCTTGTTTTATCTGATTGCGTGCTGGATCTTCGTACAAAGCTAAGAAGTTAAACTTTTTATTTCTCTACCGTCGCGAACACTATAGGACGCAACAATTTTTATTTTTTTATCATTTCATTATAATTATCATTTGAATTAGACATAATTTTCTCTTTCGTAATGAATGAGTTGACTCGTGAGTCGGTTCAAATTCGTAGAATTAAACTCGAGTTTAAGCTCCGACTCAATTAATCAGTAAAGCTCAAGCTTATACTTCGTTTGGGAATGTTTTTTTATTGTTTCTTTAAATAGCTTTTGTAATGTAAATTTTTTTATTTTTTACTAAAAAGTTATTGTAAGAAGCAATAAAATAAATGTCATAAATGGAGACTTTAGTTTGATCAGCTATTTTATTACTTTGCTTTTAAGATCACAATCATAATTTTTATTTGTTTATTAATTTTTTACTATTTTTAAGAAGTTTTTTTGGGGCTATAAAGCCACTTTTTATCAGAACTTTCACAAAAATTATTATTTTTATACTAATTTGATAAACATTTTTATAAAAAGTTGCAGTCATCTCAAACCAAACTTAATTAGAATCCACACGAGAAATTATTACGTGGGGAATTTGAACGCATACTGACTCTAATAAAATCATGCCATGTTATTTGTACACACCATGTGTATAACTTCTATATAAAATATATGATAAATATATTGTGTATAAATCACATGGCTTGATTTCATTGGAGTAAGAACTCCGCATATAATAATTTATCACTCCACGGGATTAATTATGTTGTGCGGACGCCGAATGCTGTCCGCAGACCAACCAGAATGCGTCAAGTTAACGCTGCTCACTGCTCGATACTGCAGCTTGATACTGCTGACGTGACACATTCTGATTGGTCTCCGTATTACGTTCTGTGTTAAGTCTATGCACAAAATAATTTATCACTCCACGGGCACCTCTTAGTTCACAGGCCGTCCCACGTGCCGATTTATCTCGCTCGTGCGAGAGGTGCGACAATCAAACTCAAGTTATATATACATGCTTATTTCCTCTTCCCCCTCCGCGAAGTTCTTCAATCCATGACACTCTGCTCTGTAATTCAATCTCCTCCATACAATCAGAATCACCACACACACACACACGCTCTCTCTCTCTCTCTCTCTCTCTCTCTCTCTCTCTCTCTCTTTCTTCTAAGGTTTTTTTCTCTCTCTAGAGACAGCTTAACTTAGTGATAGAGAAAACAAAAGATAACTTTAGAGATAGAAAGAGAATACAGAGATGGGAGAAGCTAACAAAGAAGCTAAACTAGTGTCCGAGGAAGCAACCCTTCCCAATCGGCGCAACACCAGATTCGCCTCCGCCTGCGCCGTCCTTGCTTCCATGACTTCCATTCTCCTGGGCTACGGTAATTATTTTCTCTCCATTTCTTCTTATTTTCACAATTTTTTTTTCTTTTCTAAATTTAATGGTCATTTATTCCTCTATGATTGCTTCTAAGGTTCTTTTATCATATTAATTTATGGATTATTAAATTTTATTTTTTTCATTTTAATGCACAGCACAGACGTCATGATCTTTTTTTTTTTTTTTTGAATTGCAAGATAATGTTTTTATGCTATTGGAAACATTTATTTTAATTATCTTTATTTTTGTCCTATAAAATAGAAAGAGATGTTTCATAATTTTATATAAATTTTATTTAAATCAAGAACAAGTGTGTTGTATTTTATGCAAAATATTTTTGGATATACTCATCCAAATTATTTTTTAACATAATAACAATAATTTTTTTTGTCTTATCTATATATCTAATATCTAAGGTTTTGTTTGATAAACAATAAAAAATTTACTTTAGATATTTCAAAGAAAGGCTAAATCTTTATTTTATTTATATGACTTAATGATGTTGATAAATAAATTAAATTTAATAAAATTTTTAATGACATTAATTATTTTAGATGGTTTATAAATAAATATTAAAAGCAAAATTGAGGATTTATTTGGAGCAATTGTTTTATTATTTTACTTTTTGATGGTAATTATATTTTTATTTGACTATTATGTTATGATAAAAATTAGTTTTTAATATAAAAAAATTATATTTTTGGCAGATCCACTTAGAAATAAAGTAAATATCTGATAAAAATTTAATTTTTAATAATTTCATTACAGATATTGGCGTTATGAGTGGCGCCGCCATCTTCATCCAAAAAGACCTCCACATCAGCGACGTCCAAGTGGAGGTCCTTCTCGGAATCATAAACCTTTACTCCCTCGTCGGCTCCTTCGCCGCTGGCCGGACTTCCGACTGGATCGGCCGGCGATACACAATAGTAGTCGCAGCCGGAATATTCTTCGTCGGAGCCCTCCTGATGGGCTTTGCAACCAACTACATCTTTCTCATGTGCGGCCGCTTCGTCGCCGGAATCGGCGTCGGCTACGCCCTCATGATTGCGCCGGTTTACACGGCGGAGGTCTCTCCAGCCTCTGCCCGTGGTTTCCTGACTTCCTTTCCCGAGGTCTTTATAAATTCCGGCATTCTTCTCGGCTATGTGTCCAACTTCGCATTCTCTCACCTATCTCTTCATATGGGATGGCGGCTTATGCTCGGCGTCGGCGCGGTTCCGTCGGTGTTTCTTGCTCTTGGTGTGCTTGCTATGCCGGAGTCTCCCAGATGGCTTGTTCTACAGGTATTAAGCCGCGTGTAAACGAGAAATTTTTTTGCAGTTAGTCAGCTTCGTTCAAAAAAAAAAAAAAAAAAAGTCGGCTTCGTTCATTAAGCAAATAAAAAAATTTCTGCTTCGATTTGAGCTCCTTAACTTATTAAGCTGAATTAACAAATATAAAAATACAAAATTTGGTTGCAGGGCCGCCTCGCAGACGCCGCCTACGTCCTAGACCGCATCTCCGACACGCCGGAAGAAGCCCGCCTCCGCCTCGACGAAATGAAATCCGCCGCCGGAATCCCATCTGATACTCCCACAGCCAACAACATCCCTATCTCCCAGACCAACCGCGGCGGCTCCGGCGTTTGGAGGGACCTCTACCTCCACCCTACCCCCGCAGTCCGCCGCGTTCTCATCTCCGCCATCGGCATCCACTTCTTCCAACAAGCCTCCGGCATTGACTCAGTCGTCCTCTACAGCCCTCAAGTCTTCAAAAAAGCTGGAATCTCCGGCGACAACGCCCTCCTCGGCATGACCGTCGCCGTCGGCTTCACCAAAACAATCTTTATATTAGTCGCCACTTTCCTCCTCGACCGAATCGGCCGGCGGCCGCTCCTCCTGACGTCGGTCGGCGGGATGATATTTTCGCTGATGTGGCTAGGAATTGGATTGACGGCGGCGGATCACCATGAGGGGAAGTTAATGTGGGCGGTGGGGCTGTGTTTCTCATCGATATTGGCTTACGTGGCGTTTTTTTCGATAGGGTTGGGACCGGTGACGTGGGTGTATAGTTCTGAGATATTTCCGATGAGGTTAAGAGCGCAGGGGGCGGCGGCGGGGGTGGTGGTGAACAGAGTGACGAGTGGGATTATAACGATGACATTTATATCTTTGTATAAGGCGATAAGTATTGGTGGGAGCTTCTTTTTGTATGCGGGAGTGGCGGCGGCGGCGTGGGTGTTTTTCTATGGGTATGTGAGAGAGACGAGGGGGAAGACGTTGGAGGAGATGGGGAAATTGTTTGGGTTTAGTAAGGAGGAGATGGAGGAGGAAGATGAGATTGTGAAGACGAAAGAGATGACGTCTAAGAACGGAACAGGGGAGGCGGCGGCAGCGGCGCCGGCGGCTCTGTAACTGGATTGGGGTGGGTGCAATATGTGCAAGTTGTTGGGGGTATTTTAGAACTATTTTTACATATGTGGAAGCTTATATGATACTTGATGGAAACTAATGAACACAAGTATGGGGAATTAAACCCGGTTCACATAAAGTTTGGATGAACCGGATCTTTGCTAATCAATATATGTTTTTATTTTATTTTATTGTTATTGTGAAAGAGAATTGATATTTTTGTTTGAATTTGTTTATTTTTTAAATCTTAATTGGTAGAAAAAAAATATTATCTTACATGATATATCTTACTAGCAACCAAAGAGAGAGTAGGGTGAGATGTTTAGTTAAAGTTTATACTTAGGATTTCAAGAGGAAATAATTTATTTGAAAGTATAAAATTATGTGTAAATCTCTCTTCTCGAACTAATTCGAGGATGAATTGCTAATTCTATATCGTTTTGATGATCTAGATTTTGATTTGTTTGATGTTTTAGAATGGTAGACCTTTTTTCACAATCTGTTAGCTAGTCGAACTTAATGAGTAGCTCATCTCACGAGCCTATTTAATTTATGACATGTCTGTTGAACAACAATTCAATTCAGATAGTCTCCAACAAATGGTAGTGACCCGTTAGCTAGCAAAAGGAGATGATGATGTCAACGAACAAACTCGTTGTAGTTGATAAAGAGATGGTCGCTAAAATGAGGCATTGAACATTAACAAACATTGCTCGAGTTGGAGTTTGTGCATGTTCAATTGGAGAATAAGTTAAATTAGTTAAGAGGCAATTAATGTCTTCCAATGTGTCACGCTTCATCATCTATATTGGAAGAATTTGTCTTTCATTTTAATCATTTAACTAGAGCTTATTAATTTCTTATAAATAATAAAAACAATTATGAATGCTGTCAGACAAGAACAAACACTATTGATGGTTATTAAAATAGATGCTTACATGAGCTATAATAATATGAAGAAGGTGTAGGGATCATATTTAGAGATTATGAAAATAAAAAAAAAAAAAATTCTCCAAAAATACCGCATGTTGCCGACCTTTGATAGGTGTTTTAATGTAATCAACTAATGCAAAGAAATAATTGTTGCCTAATGTCCTTTATCATTATTTGGTTTGAGACAACAACTAAGAGTTTTTCTATTTTTTTCTTACAAAATATAATTAATTGAAGACATGTACGTATATTTGTGCTGGCTGTGGAGGCAGAAGAAATTATTACATGCGGAGAGCGGACGTGAGATATGGTTGGATTTTGTAAGGATATATAATAAATACACAATTTTATTTTTTGATGTGTATTTACTGTATAGTTACTGTGTACCCATACAAAATCTGGACATATCTTCTGTCCAAATTCCGCACGTAATAATCTCTCATAGAGATTAGAATATTCCCACAAAGACTTTCATTAAGAGTAAATCAAGAACATGATAGGTGTATTAATGCAAGACTTCTTGGGGTCTTCAAAGATTCCTATTTATAATCACTGTTAATTGCGTCACATGCACTGCCTTATCACACTCTTTGGCGTCAAAGATCACTTCTCTCAACTATTTTTCTTAGAAGAGTTTGAAAGATATATATAGTTCTTTTTTGATATAAATATTGAATGTGAGAAATTTGAATTTATAAATTCCATTTCTTAAAGCTGAGGTAGAGAATGTAAAAATTTTAAGTTTTTGTAGAAAAAAATTTTCTAGCACAATTTTTTTTTGAAAGCAACGAAAAATAGACCAGGCAAAAATTATCGTTGCATTCTAAAAAATAAAGCAGTAAGAGAGCTGTCTCAAACAAAGCTTAAGGAGAAAAGGAGCTTGATGATGGAGCTTGCTGTGAAGGCAGCATGGGATGATGGGATAGCGTGACATAGCTCAATGTGCAAGGCATTGTGACGAAGCTCGCTAGAGAAAGCAAAGACAATAAATGGGTGATGCTCTACCTATGAAGAACAACAAAGTTCAAACATTTGTCTACGATGTTTGAACCAGATTCAAATCAAGTTCAAAACTTTGGTTCAAACAAAATGTTCAAATTTTGTTCGGATTAGATTTGAACAAAATGTAATCTGATAATTTAAATTTATAAATATTTTTAAATTGATAGAGTTTATTCAGTCGATAATCCGACGGGTGGTGGTCTGAAGATGATTGATGGATGTTCTTCGGTGGTGGAGGTTAGGTGGAACTCTAGGATCCTTGAAGCCTCAGAGTTCTCTCAAATATGCAACCAAACCAAACAACCAAATTTACTTCGGTCCTTGATTTGGGCCCATTTGGGTGTGAATTAAATTGATTTTGGTCTCATTGGGTTCGTCTTATTTAGACTTATGAATAGACTATATGTTTGCTGAAGTTGGAGTTTGGATGGTCCCAAATATAGTTTGGTAGTTTCCAACTTAAATATGCCTCGAGATTCGTGATCAATCAAGGCCATTTTGTATGACACGTCAAAAATATTTTATTTTCAATTAATTTTTTTTTACTATAAGTAGCACAAGTTATCTAAAAGCCCTAAGTGATGCAATAGATAATCTCTCAAAATTTGATATCTAATTAAATGTTAATATCCAAATTGATTAAAAAAATGCAATATATAATCACATTAAATATTAATATTTATCTCTCTTATCCAGCATATTTATCTTCTTATTAATATTTACTATTAAAATATATAGGTGTCAATAAATGACTCGTTATAATAATGAATCTAATCCATAAAATCCAGATTCTAGTTAACTCATCTAATAAACAAGTCGGGCTTGGGTATGTGATTCTTACCCGTTTAATTGGCAGATTGAATTCGGGTCGACCTCCAAATCAATTTACCGTCTATTTTTTTTTTTTTTTAACTTAAATTTTCTTTGCTTGTTTGTATCATTTTCTTAAATTTTCTTTGCTCATTTATTAAACAAAATTAATCAAACTCAAATTGACTGAATTTAAGTCATGTCAATTTGGAAACTGGTTCTAACCCGACCGGTTAACCCATTTTGACAGCCCTAACCATTAATATTTTGCAAAGTTCAATCAAATGAAAACAAAGATAGAAATAAAACAAAATAAAAAAAAAGAAATGTGGATCGAGCACGTCTCTTCTTACATGTCACTAATAATAGCCACATGCACCCAATAATTGAGTTGTTGCCACATTTATTGAATTTGTAGTGTCTCACAAGGAAATAATTTGACTTTTTAATATAAATAATTTAACTTAATTAATTTCTTAAATTATGAGGCAGTAGTACTGCTCTGGCTACGAAAATATTATTCTATTGCAGCCCTTAGATGAAATAACTGGTGAGTAAAAGCTTACCACAAAAAAAAAAAAAAAAAATCTTTTTATGGGGCACGAATCTCGAGAAAAAATCAAGTTGGGAAACTTTCAAAATTAAATTTGGGATCATCCGAACTCTGTTTTCAGAAAACTTATAATTGAACTGAACGTCTCGAGATTACGAACCCAACAACACCAAATTTAACTCAATACGAGCTCAAATGGGTCCAAATTAAATCAAGGTTTAGAAGCATTGTTGAAAGGTTTGAACCATAATTTGGATTACTGAACGGATTTCAAACATGACATGCTTATAGTCGAATTGAGCGGCTTGACGAGAAGAATCCAACCAGCGCAATATCACAAAATTCCAACATCATTAAGACATTCAAATGTCTAGCAAACAGTCCACGATCAAGGGATTTAATATCGACCATCTATCCAAACCACTCCTTATTTATCTTTGATCTTGCTTCTATTTACCGGTCATGTCACTATAAGAAATCTATAAGTAAACCATTCCTTCCTCTTGAAATGGGACCCTAAGCCAAATGAAACAAGAGAGAGATCAGATATCGCTCTTTCCTCCTTGCTCCTCCTCAACCACCGTCCGGAGTTCCGTTGGGCCATCATCTAATGCCGGAATTCCGACGGACCACCACTTGAGCCCTGAAGTTCCCCCAGACCACCACCTGAAGCCCGGAGTTTCACTGAATCACCACTTCAGGCCCAGAGTTTCACCGGACCACAACTTGAGGCCCGGAGTTCTGCTGGACCACCATTTGATGAAAATTCCACCGACTTTAAAAAGCCCGATAGAAATTTCTGATAAATTTATAGCAGAATATTCCACCTGAATTTCCAACTGAATGTTTCGTTACAATTTCTTCTGACGTGTGTTTTTATTAATTATACATGCTTCAAAATAATTAACGAATTACAATAAAATATTAGGAATTATTTACTTGCCACCTCTTAAAAGATTTGCCCGAATGCAAAAAAAATCAAGCTTCATTGCACAAAACCTGACTGATAATATGTTGAAGAATCTATTCGAAGCTCGCAACATTCATCACCGAACGTTTTTTTTTTTTTTTCTGGTCGACAATAACATCAGAAGAAGATTCAAACTTCATTAATTTATTAAATTTCCATTTTTTCACACTTCATTACTGTACACATCTTTGTTCAAATCTGAAATATTGAACAAATTAAAAATTTTATAATATTCATTTGTTGTCTTATCTGCTCTCCATATTATAAACTTATAATAATCTCTCCACCTTGAGCTCACAGGGCGCTCTCTCTCTCTCAAGTTTTCTTTTTCTCTCTATATCATACAGCTTTGTAGAGATAGAGAGAAGAAAGAAAGTTTTAGAGATAGAAAGAGAAACCGGATATGGGAGAAGATAACAAAGAAACTAAAGTAGTCTTCGAGGAAGCAGCGCCTCCCAAGCGGCGCAACACCAGATTCGCCTTTGCCTGCGCCGTGCTTGCCTCCATGACAACCGTTGTTCTGGGCTATGGTATTTCTTCTCACTTTATTTATTATTATTATTATTCAAGTTAGATATTTTTAAAAAAAGATTAGATTTTTTTTAATTAAATTGGTGAATGAAAGTTCCAATTTTTTTTAAAAAAAAATCAGATCAAACATTAATTTATAGTATACAGATATTGGCGTTATGAGTGGCGCCACCATCTTCATCCAGAAAGACCTTCATATCAGCGACGTCCAAGTAGAGGTCCTTGTCGGAATCATAAACCTCTACTCCCTCATCGGCTCCATCGCCGCCGGTCGAACTTCGGACTTGATTGGCCGGCGGTACACAATCGTCCTCGCCGCCGGAATCGTCTTCGCCGGAGCCATTCTGATGGGCTTTGCAACCAACTACGCCTTCCTCATGTGCGGCCGCTTCGTGGCTGGTGTCGGAGTCGGTTACGGCGTCGTGATTGCGCCGGTGTACACGGCGGAGATCTCTCCCGCCTCTGTCCGCGGCTTCCTCACTTCCTTCTCTGAGGTTTTTATAAATTTCGGCATTCTTCTCGGATATGTCTCCAACGTCGCATTCTCTCACTTCTCTCTGCATATCGGATGGCGGCTTATGCTCGGCGTCGGAGCTGTTCCGGCGGTTTGTCTTGCTCTTGGCGTGCTTTTTATGCCGGAGTCACCTAGATGGCTTGTTCTGCAGGTAAGGGGCTCGAAAGAAAGAAATATTAGTTGGGTAATCTATTCAGTTGCCATTTCATTAAGCTATAATTAACAGCGTAGCAATTTTTTATGTCGAAATATGTGATTTATGCTTCTTTGCAACAATTTATTATTATTTTTTAAATAAAATTTTAGCACAAAATTTTATTTTAAGATCAATAAAAAAGTCGTCCCAAATTAATCCTTAGGCTTGGTTTGGGATGGCTTTATTATTGCTTTGTGAAGTTATATTTTATTTTTTTATTTAGAAAATAGAAAAAAAGGTTTTATATATTTGAGTAGGATTTATTACGTGCGTTGTTCGGACAGGAGAACCATCCAAATTCTGTGATGATATACAATAATACATAGAAAAAAATAAAATTGTGTATTTATTGTATACTCTCACAAAAATCGGATCATTCTCCCATACGAATTCTCTGCATGTAATAATATCTCTTGTCTACGACAATACTCTTCAGCTTTGTTTGAGACTGCTTTCATATTGCTCAATGCTCATAAATATTTTTTAGTATAAAAATTTTAATTTTAAAACTTAAAAGATGATTTAAAAATCATTAAAAAGTCACCCCAAATGAAGCATTAGTGTCATGCTACTTTACTTTTTAATTGTTTATGAGCATTAATTTCTTGCAAAATTATATATTGGTAAGCTGCTTTTATTACTAAAATTGTTAATGAGCATTAATTTTAATTAATTTAAAAAATATTATAAATTTCAAAAAAATTAAAAACTTTGTTGACTATTTTACAAATCATGAAATTGTTGCAGACATATCCTAAAATAGCTCTTTATAGCTGATTATTTTGTAGATTTTTGTAATGATTACTATAAAATTTGTTAGAAAAAATAAATATTTTGAAAGTTGGTGTAAAAAACAGTTTTTCAGCACATTTTTTTTTACCTATTGAGAAATTAATAGCCAAATAAAATCTTAGCACTAACTATCATAAATGTAAAATAAAAAGAAACATGTCCCATATAAAAAAAAAAAATATTACATGGAGAGGAGTCCAGACTCCAATTATGTGAAGGCTAGTTGATGTAAAATAAAATTATTTTTTAACGGACACCGCATCTTCTGGAGGCTAATCAGAACTCATCATATCATTTGGTACATAGAGATACAAAACTGTAGTACACAACAAAAGGGCCGCCAGACGATGTCCGCATCTGCACAAAATAATTTCATGTAAAGACTACACAATAATAATCTCTTCCCAAACAAGTGTTTGTATTTGTTCTTCGGCTTATAAACTCCTTAATAAATGCATGATTATCAAATAAATATTTTAGTTTAATTTTCTTAAAAAATTTTATAATTCGGTCATTAATTTACACCGTTCTAATTTCTTGCTTGCAGGGCCGCCTCTCCGACGCCGCCCACGTCCTAGACCGCCTCTCAGCCACACCAGAAGAAGCCCACCTCCGCCTCTCCGAAATGAAATCCTCCGCCGGAATCCCCTCCGACGCAACCACTGCCAACACCACCCCCTTCACCCGAACCAACCGCGGCGGCTCTGGCGTCTGGAAGGAACTCTTCCTCCACCCCACCCCCGCCGTCCGCCGCGTCCTCATCTCCGCCTTCGGCATCCATTTCTTCCAACAAGCCTCCGGCATCGACTCCGTCGTCCTCTACAGCCCCCACGTCTTCCAAAAATCCGGCCTTTCCTCCAACAACGCCCTCCTCGCGATGACTGTCGCTGTCGGCCTCACCAAAACCAGCTTCATATTAGTCGCCACTTTCCTCCTCGACCGAATCGGCCGCCGCCCTCTCCTCTTAGCTTCAGCCGGCGGCATGATATGCTCTCTTATAGGATTAGGAATTGGATTGACGGCGGCGGAGCACCATGAGGGGAAGTTATTGTGGGCAATGGCAGTGTGCTTCTCATCGATTTTGGCTTTTGTGGCGTTCTTTTCGATCGGCTTGGGGCCGATGCCGTGTGTGTATTGTTCAGAGATATTTCCGATGAGGTTGAGAGCGCAGGGGGCGGCGGCGGGGGTGGTGGTGAATAGAGTGACGAGTGGGATTATATCGATGACGTTTCTTTCGTTATATAAGGCGATAAGCATTGGTGGGACATTTTTCTTGTATGCGGGAGTGGCCGCGGCGGGGTGGGTGTTTTTCTATGGGTATTTGAGGGAGACGAAGGGGAGGACGTTGGAGGAGATGGGGAAATTGTTCGGGTTTAGTAAGGAGGAGATGGAGGTGGAAGATGAGATTGTGAAGACGAAGGAGGAGGGATTTGGGGAAGCGGCGGCGATGGGGGCGGTGGCGGCTCTGTAAGTGGTTGTGATGGGTGAATAAGACTATAAGAAAAAGTTATAGTCACTTAACTTGTGGACAATGCGATTTATACGTAGCTAATACATCAAATTAGTATTCAAAAGTTTGATTTGGCTTCTTCTATTTATTTTTATGGTAAAAAAAGGGGGCAATAAAAGTAGTAATTATTTAAATGAAAAAAAAACAAACAAAATTGTTTTTCTTTTTTTAATTTACTCAATAAAATATTTTAAAAAAAGTAAAAGTTATAGTTGAGAAGTATTTTTTTTTTAGTTATGAGAGCTAAAAAATAATAATTGCGAGTAAGAAAAATTTGGAACTTTAATTTTTATTCAAATTAATATTAAAATGAAGAGATCAATATTTTCACTTATTATCTAGAGTATGTTAAGTACCATCTTCTTTTTCTAATACTTATAAATTCGCAATTTATCATCATCTACAAGCAAGAGAAAAATATTCATATCTTATTACATGATTGGAGTTCGGATCCGAACGGGTCCGAACTCCAATCATAATTATTGTTATTGACTAGACATAGTGCTCAAGCCAATATAATATAAACATCATAAAAAAAAACTATTAATACTACACAAACACACAAATATATACATATACAAGATTGTACAATCAAGCACACCTACTTTAAATTTCTCATAAGAATTCATAAACTATTCCAGCATTGATGGCTATAGTTAAAAGTTTTCAAAGTTTTATTTTAAGTTCAATGATGTCCTCTTTTAGTTTACTAAAAACTAAAGTTTCGTTTGAGACAATTTTCTTATTACTTTTCAAAGAAGTTTTTTAGTACAAATATTTTTAATTCAAAAAAAATTTTGTATTAAAAAATTATTTTAAAAATAAATAAAAAATATCTTAAACGAAGCCTAAGACTATCATATTTCTTTAGTTCTTCATCTTCTCACTTTTCTTTCCTGGATATTTTCTTCTTGAATGTAATTTCTTTCTAGAAAGTTTACTTTAAGATCGACATTGTGTCACTTGTCCATAAATTCACTCATATAGAGCATATTAATTTTTTTTTTTTTTAAAAGAACATTTCATTCCATTAAAACAAGCGATTACAAGATCCAAAAAGCAAATGCAAAAATAAGAGGAAAAAAAAAACCCCCGAGGGCTCAGAAAAAGGCCAAGACTACCAGCTTCCCATAAGGCAAGCTCGGACCGTCCAATTGGTGGACCAAAAAGCGAAGCAGCCATCCTAACAAGATCAACATCAAGGTTGCCACAAGCCAAGCTAACGGATAAGCGAGCCCCAACTACATCATTGCCCAGCAACAAACAACGAAAAAAATAAAATAAAACTGAGATCTCCAAAAGCACCTGAGCCCACTGAAAGTGCCAAAACGAGTGCACACACCATTACCAAAAGGATCACCCAACCAGCCCAATGAATAGATACCTTGTCCAACCAACCAAAAGGCTACCCAAAAAAGAAAACCAAGTACACCATCACCGACCACGTATACCCCTTCCATGAGCCCTACCACGAGAGGAAACAGATACAAGAGGTTTACCTCGACACAAGGCAAAAGAATTGCCCGGATCCTCATCTCCAGACGATTTGAAAGAAACAGAATCAGAATAAGTCGAGTCTTGTAGCCAATCCAATTGCACACGAACATCCAATCTCGAATTGTCCCCCACATGATACACAAAACTTTGAGGATCAATTAACGTAACAGGTACATCCACAAAATTGTTGTTAACTAAACAGTTGACCATGACTGGATGCGAACTGGAGTTAGCAGACACCTCACAAACCCCCGCACCCAAATTTTCAGACGGAAGAGCAGCAACCTCATGAGGGAAATCCAAAACAACAGGCTTAAAAGAAATTTCACCCAAAACAGTCGAGGCAGACACCACCGACAACAAGCGATCAGCACCACCATGATTATCAGCACTAAGACAAGTTCTAGGGGAGACCATAAAGAGCTAAAGTACCTGAAATGGAACCTTGAGGGAGAAAGGGTAAAGCATCAGGGGACAAAATAGCAACACCATTACCACTATCATCCTTACCACCCAAAAGGTTCACATTATTTTCCACATCAATTTCCACATTCTCAACAGCTTAATTAGTTTGAGGGGTATCCAAATCCACCAACTAAACCACAGGCTGCGCACCCAAAACCGAAGTTGGAAGAATGGGTTCAACAGAAATAACTTGCTCAGCCTCAACATTAGAAGAAGGGAGAATTGGATCTGAGATAATGGAATCCTTCTTAGCAACCTTAGACGGCATAGATAAATCAACCTCAGGACGACAATTACCTGAAAAATGCCCAAATATTTTACACGAAGAACAAAAAGATCGATGGGAAATCCTCCATAACAACATGCTGAACATACCCAGAAGATTCAGGGCCTAACCAGACACGATCGGGATAGGATTTAGTAACATCTAATTCCACTAACACACGAGCAAGAGACGACCTAGACCCAATAGCAGTAGCAGTATCGATTTTAAGGGGCTTTCCAAAGATTAAACCCAAGCCATGAAGTATGCTGGGAGAGAAGAGATGGGGGCACAGCAGAGGGAAAGACACCCAAATGGGTACAACTGGCGACTCCACCCCAATGTCCATAGAGGGAAGCCATTTGGTGAGTTTCATAAAGTAGTTATACTAAGTAAGATCCATGACAAAAGACCCGACAATAATCAAGATCATTTTTATGCTTAATGAGGATATGAGACGGGTCCAGCAACGTAACAGAAAATTAACCTTTCAATCTTAGATTGAAGAAAAATTGTCGAATAGAGTCCAAAGAAGGACGCTTAGAAGGAAAAAATCCGACTAGAGAGAACTGGAAAGGTGCGGCCAGCGCAGACATTTCTTGTTCCGAAATCAAAAGAGAGGGAATCCCACGAAAAGAAGAAACCCTAAGCTCCGGAAAAATGGGATCATCTTGCTTACTCACTAGTACATCCAAAAATGAACGAGAAGATGAAGAAACCCCTAAAAAATCAGGGTTACATAACTTCAGCGGCATGCCGACTAGTGCCGGGCAGAACCACAAACAACGAAAACCCAAAATAAAAAATTAGAGAAATAGGAACTTTCCCGAAGGAAAAAGGAAGACGTCGCCACCACGGCGAGGAGCTCCAACCACAAGAACTCACCGAAGAAGGCTAGGGCAAAAGCCCTAGCAGAGCGGAAGCGGGGGCGGGAGGATTATATAGAGCATATTAAATTGCTAATGATTTGATCGAAAAAGGGTTACAACAAACGAAAGTTTTAAATATTGTAATATTTGAACAACTTTAGTATTAAATAAAATTTGAGCAAGTACGCATGCAATATTGTCATTTGTTTGCCCTAATTGATTTATTGAGTTATGATCCATTGTGTTCTCATGTTGCTTTGCTTGGGGACCAGTAAATATTTCAGTGTGATTGTGTTTGATTACATGCGATTTTTATGCAATTTTAAAATTATGCAATTTATTTATTTATTTTTATTTTCTTTTAAGTATTTAATTCTATCTAATGGCTAAATAAGTAATAATAAATGGAATTATCTTTAGCTGAATAATATTCTTGTGGGACCAAAAAATAGAATAAAGCTTCACTTTTCAAGTATTCATAAAGAAGATAAAATTAGCTCAATTTTATTAAAATGATCAATCAAGACACTATTAAGGTGTAAATCTCTTCATATTTGGATGAATTCATTTAAATAAAGTGAAATTCCAATCCTATTTTTATGGGAAATTGTTTGATAAGTGCAGAAATGCATGGCAAGAAGCACATGCTACTAGGCTTTCTTAAAAGGAAGCATCAATTTTAATTATATTAGAAAAACATATTAAATTAAAAATTTAATCGAGAACTAGTATGGTGGCGGATGTCTAAGAAACAAATTACGGGTAAACTGTAAAAAGGGTATCGACCAAAGAGGGCATTGGAGTTTTCAGTTCAAAATTTTGAAAGGTCTGATAAGGCGCTGGAGTGCGCAATTTAAACCTATGGAAGGTTTGGGCGAAGGAATAGGGTTAGGAATTAAGATTTCTATATTTAAATAGTTTTATTTAATCCACATATATTATTTAATTAAAAATACATGAAAAATATTTACTTGATCATCATAGGAGAAATTATTATGTGTGGACACCAGACCGTCCGGAGGCGAATTTGAATGCGCCACATCACCTAATACATAGTGATACACAATCGCGATACACGGAAAAAAAGTAATGTGACACGTTCTAATTCATCTCCGAACGGCGTTTGTATCCTCGTAGGAAAATAATTCTGCACATCATAGACCAACTATCATCACCCAACTAATGTTACATCCTACCAATTAGCACTGACCTAGCATCCGCAAGTATTGACTACTATAATCTCTCATCAACTAACATCGAAGATCGTTGATCAAGATATGAACTTTGTGCTCCATCAAAATCACAATAGGTCTTCAACAATTCAACCATTAGTTCTGATCAGTCCAATCTAATTTTGTATAAATAATTATTTTTTATATGGATCAAATTGACTGAAGAATATGCTCATGACTAAACTAATCAAATTATGTTGAATCAATCAATTTCTAAAATATTTATATATACACATGAAATTTGATTGTTGAATGAGCACAATTATAATAAGAATAACTAAACTTTATTGCACCCTAAATAATAGTATATAATTGAATTTGGCCAAAATCCTTGTTAACTGCAAAGTGATGAAGACAAGTCCAATTAGTGGGCCCTTGGAAACAAGCTTGTGGTTTACAGGCCTTGGTCAATATATATGGTACTGGCTGGAGCACTGGTCGCGATCGTGAACATAGGCCATGAAGTCTCACAAGGCTCCATCCTAACTTTTGGTAATGGCAGGCTGTGGGCCCTTGCTTTTGTGGCCCAATAATAATAGGGTGAATCGCTTTTGTCTTATTTGATGGCCGACGGCCCGCCAAGGACCTCAAAAGTCATATATTAAGATACCAATAATTGTAGTGGTCCCAACAAAAGGGAAAGTATATGGCTTTGAAATTTATTATTAACATTTTATATATTTATTAAAATATACTAACATGTTTTTAATTACATAAAATTTATGAGTGTGAATTGAGAATTTTCTTATGTTGATTGATATTATGTAATATTTTGTCTACACATAGATAAAATAAATTTATAAATTATGTAAAAAAAAAAGTGGTAGAGAAAAAATATGGGAGCTGATCCATTAGAAATAATTTAATATTTATGTAAATATTATAAATATTTGTCTTTTTAATAAAAAAATATAAATAAATAGTGAGGCGTGTTGAACTTTTATGTCAATTGATGGTCGACTAAGAGCATCTCCAACCGAACGGCAAATCAGTGTTTGTTGTTCTTCCTTCCCTCCAATCAATCTCTATTTTTGCCGGCATTCGAAGGGAGATGACTGTTCATACGGCTTTTTAAAAAAAAAAATTTGAAGCTTAATTATTAATTTTAAAGATTGAAGTTTATAACTTTTTTATTATTAAGATGTCCACATCGATTGATGGGGATAATGATAGTTAATCAATGATTATTAGTAGTGGTAATCAATATTAGGGAGAGTTCTAGAGCTCTCCATATCTTTGAGTTATCTTCTCCTAAAGTCTCTTTTATGTGTGGAATGAGAATCAGGGGATACTTCATCGACTGTCTTGTTGATCTATGGTGAGGCATTATTTTAGTGCTTTAGTTTGATTGGATATATTTTTCATTAAAGGATCTTGAGAATACAAAGTAAATGCACTGAAAGAGAGCTTCTTTTTGGATGGAAAGTTAATTGGAAACTTCTTTTTTGCTTGAGTTGGATGTAAAGTTTGAGCTTAGTGATCCACTAAAATGACATGGTGATATTTTCTCTTTCTTTCAAGTTGGTGAGATCATTGATGGGAATGGGAAATGCTTAAGTGGGCTTTCTTTCTTGTGGTTTGGATGAGCTCTGGATGATGGAATTGGGATGACGGATCTCGACGGCAGAGCTCGGGAAGACGGACGCGACTACGAGGGACGGAACTCGGGTCTTAGGACAACGGACACGATGACGGGCTCGACGGCGTAGCTCGACGAGCCGCTCAATAGGACAACGAAGCTCGAGATTGGGTTTTGATAGTCGAGCTCGACTCGAACACCCCCTGGCTCGAGCTCGACTTGTTCACACATCTAACGTCCCCCACTAAAAAAAATTAATTAAATTAATGTTTAATTAAGTATATTAATTATTTCTTAATTATCATTAAATAAAATAAATTATATTTATTTTGTTGGCTTTTCAAGAGACTCTTCCGATGGACTGTTTACCTTCCCAATTTATAGTCGTCAGTCTTTCTTTTCCGGCGCATCATCGAGCTTGTTGTATATGTTTCATCTGAGCTTGTTGTCTTCTTAAATCAATAAATCCTCCCATTTTCAGGATTCTACAAAGAAGCCATGGCAGACTTGAATTCAAAAATCACTCTTAAACTTCTGATCGATGCTCGTAGCAACAAAGTTCTTTTCGGTGAAGCTGGTAAAGACTTGGTAGATTTCTTGTTCAGCCTTCTTACCCTCCCACTAGGCTCCGTTATTAAGCTCCTCTCTCCTTCAACTATGAATGGATCTATTGGAAAACTTTATCAAAGCGTAGAAAATCTTAACGAGATTTATCTTGTAGCAAACAAAGACAAAGCCTCTTTACTTCAACCCAAAGCATCCACTTATGTTAACAATCTTTTGCTTCTTGCCACAGAAACCAGCGTAGAGCTCAAATACTATCTGTGTAATTTTTGCAGTAGAAAAGTCACTACTGTGAGAAATACTGTCTGCCCAAACTGCAATCGTGCGATGGTTATCGAAGTCGCCTTTGTGGTTCCATCGGATTCTGCTTCTTCTGTTAGTTCTGGAAATACAGGAGAGGGTGTTGGAGGCTTTGTAAAGGGAGTGATCACCTACATGATTACAGATGATTTGGAAGTGACGCCAATGTCTGCCATCTCCAGCATCACTCTTATCAATCGCTTCATCATGAAGAAGGATGTCCAACTAGAGGAGAAGGTGGTTGCCGTCGGCATCGAAGAGGTTAATTCTTTGTTGTAACTACTAAATTTCTTTAAGTTTTATAACTTTGTTTTGATTAAATTTGAATATTTTAGGGACTTGCTTTGCTTAAGGCTTCATTAGACTCACCAACTGCTTTGACTGATGTTTTCTGCTCCCCTGAGAAGAAGGAAAAACCTCCATCTTCCTCTTTTGTGGATGATGATGATGATGACGACGATGACGATGACTAATTACTCTCTCTTTGTATATATTTTGCTAATATATATATGAGTATTGAGAAATGGTAATGAGGTGCATATGGAAATTATTAAAAATATTATGTCTATGACACTTACATTCATTAGAATAATATCATGGGGAAATTTTAGATATGAGCATAATCTTCGTCAAATTTACAACAAATGAAAATTTTAATTATTGTAATATTTGAACAACTTTAATATTTAATGTAATTTGAGCAATTAAGCATGCAATATTGTCATTTGTTTGTCCCTAATTGATTTATTGAGTTATGATCCATTGTGTTCTCATGTTGCTTTGCTTGGGGGACCAGTAAATATTTCAGCGTGATAGTGTTTGATTACATGCGATTTTTATGCAATTTTAAAATTCTGAAATTTTTTTATTTATTTATTTTTCTTTCTTTTAAGTATTTTATTCTATATAATGGCTAAATAAGTAATAAATGGAATTATCTTGAGACCAAAAAATAGAATAAAGCTTCACTTTTCAAGCAATTAATAAAGAAAAAAAATAGCTCGATTTTATATTTTTATTAAAATGGTCTATGAAGAGACTATCAAGGCATAAATCTCTTCATATTTGGATGAATTCATTTAAATAAAGTGAAATCCCAATCCTATTTTTATGTGAAATTATTTGATAAGTGTAGAAATGGCAAGAAGCACATGCTACTAGGTTTTTCTTAAAAGGAAGCATCAATTTTAATTATATTAGAAAAATATATTAAATTTAAAAAAAATAATGAGGAACAAGTCTCATGGCGTATGACTACGAAATAAATTATGTGTCAACTTCAATGGGGAGATCGACAGAAGAGGGCATTGGAGCAGTTCAAAATTGCCAAAGGCGGGGCATCGGGGCACTGGAGTGCGCACTTTAAACCTATGAAAGGTTGGGGCGAAATAATAGGGTTAGGAATTAATATTTCTTAATTTATTAAATAGATTTATTTAATTCACATATATTATTTCTAATTTAAAAAAAAAAACATGAAAAAGTATTTACTTGATCATCCTCGGAGAAATTATTATGTACGGACACCAGATCGTATGGAGGTGAATCTAAACGCATCACATCACTCGGTACATAGAAGTACACAACCGCGATACACAAAAAAAGTGACATGACGCATTCTAATTCGTCTTCGGTTGGCATCCGTATCCACACAAAATAATTTTACCCATCATAGACCAACTATCATCATCCAACTAATGTCACATCCTACCAATCAACACTCACATGACATCAGCAAGCATCTGACGGCTATCGTCTCTCGTCAACTTACATCGAAGATCTTTGATCAAGATATGAGCTTGATGCTCCATCAAAATCAAAATAGGTGTTCAACAATTCAACCATTAGTTCTGAACAGTTTAATCTAATTTTGCATAAAAATTTATATTTTATATGGATCAAATTGATTGAAGAATCTACTGATAGATAAACAAATCAAATTCTGTTGATTCAATCAAATTCTAAAATATTGATATACACACATGAAATTTGATTGTTGCATGAGCACAATTATAGTAAGAATAACTGAACTATATTGCACAATAAATAATGTTATTTAATTAAATTTGGCCAAAATCCTTGACAACTGAAAAGTGATGAATACAAGTCCGATTAGTGGGCCCTTTGAAAAAAGCTTATGGTTTCCAGGCCTTTGTTCTATCGTGGTTGTGAATAGGGGTGTCAGTATTGGACACGACCCGAAAAATTCGGATTCGTGTTGACCCAAACCCGAACCGGGTCGGGTTTCGGGTTAAGGCTTTCGACCCATTTGCAAACTCGGTTTGGGTTGACCCGAAAACACGGTTAATGACCCGCTGCCCGCCTTGATCTGGCCTGACCGAAGCTGCCCACGTCTCTTCGAGAGTCGTGTGTCGCTTCTCGTGTCCCGCATCTAGCGTCGCGTCTGCCCGCCGCGCAGCAGCCTGCAACCCACTTGCCCGTGGGGAAATGCATGCCCGCCCGTTGCGCTGCCGCCACCGGCTCGCCGCCTGCCCGTTGCACCGCGTCCCGCTGCGAACTCAAGCCACTACCGCCTGCCCGCTACACCGTGTCCCGCTACAAACCCGCACCGCTGCCCGCTTGCAATGGATAACGGGTCGTGTCGGGTTAACCCGAACCAGAAGCTGGTCGGTTTCATAAAGTCTCACAAGGCTCCATCCTAACTTTTAGTAATGGAAGGCTGTGGGCCCTGGCTTTTGTGGACCAATAGTAATAGGGCAAATCGCTTTTGTCGTATTGATGACCGACGACCCGCCAAAGACCTCAAAAGTCATATATTAAGATACCAATAATTGTAGCGGCCCCAAAAGTCATAAAGTATATGGCTTTGAAATTTATTATTAACACTTTATATATTTATTAAATAATAAAAAATAAAAAAATAAAAATAAAAAATAAAAAAAAAACTAAACTTTACATCCAACTCAAGCAAAAAAAGAAGTTTCCATTTAACTTTCCATACAAAAAAGAAGCTTTCTTTTTTTTTTTGGGAAATTAGAAACTTTCTTTTGATTGCATTTACTTTGTATTCTCAAAATTCTTTAATGAAAAATACATACAATCAAACTAATGCACTAAAATAAAGGCTTATGTGCTAGACAGTCGATGAAGTGCCCCGCGATTTGTCGCTACGATTGTGCCTTCAGTCAATTTCTCTACTTTTCTGTCGGAGCCAAGCCAAGGCCTTCTCCCAAGGAAGCGCCTCATTTATAATCGACATCAAATACTAGTGAATTCATTCAAACTAGATCAGGCCCTGTGGTTTTTTCCCCATTTTCAGGGGTGTCAATGTAAAAACTCTGGTGTCTCTTATAAATAATGCACACTCTCTTATCTGCTTGTGTTTTGGATCTTCATACAACACTAAGACGCTAAACTCTATATTTCTCTACCGTCGCGAATATTCCAGGATGCAACACTTTTTTAATAAATTTTATATGTTTAATTATAACTTTATTTAGTTAGTTAGTTATTTTCTTTTATTTTTATTTTTCATGACGCAAAATTTTGAGCCGAATTAAGCTTAAAATTCTTAGAAATAATTAATTAGTTAGGAAAACGAGGCAAAAAATAAGCATGTCGGCGCTGAAAGCCTGAATGCACTGGAGGAGTAGGCGAATTCAAAGAATGCACCATACCATTTGACGCATTCAAAGAATGATGCACCGAACGGATTCGCGCATTCTATATGCGCCATACATCATCGCGTACCCGTTGCTTTTCATAATTCCATCCATTTGCGCTTCGCTTGCTAAATTTGACGAAGATTATGCTCATATCCAAAATTTCCCCATAATATTATTCTAATGAATGTAAGTGTCATAGACATAATAGTTTACTAATTTTCATAAGCACATCATTACCATTTCTCAGCACTCATATCAAATTAGATGAAATGCCCTCTTCAAATTATGCAGCTCACAATCAAAATATACTGTAAGAGTTTTTATATATTTTAAATTATGAAAAAAGATAACCATGATCAAACTAATACTAGAGTTAAAATATATAATTAAACAATTTCATTTAAAAAATTTACATTTCCATACATATTACACTAAATCCACACAGAATTAAGCTACAAAATAAAGACCTTGGCCACATATACGTACAGAGAAAGTCACACAAGTACAAATGCTAGTCCATTAGCATTGCCATATTAGCAAAACATATACAGAGAGAGAGAAATTAGTCGTCGTCGTCGTCGTCATCATCATCATCCACAATAGAGGAAGAAGGAGGGTTTTCCTTCTTCTTAGGGGAGCAGAAAACATCAGTCAAAACAGTTGGTGAGTCTAATGAAGCCTTAAGCAAAGCAAGTCCCTAAAATATTCATCAAATCAAAACAAAGTGATAAAACTAAAGGAAATTTAGTAGTTCAATAAAGAATTAACCTCTTCCATGCCGACGGCGACCACCTTCTCCTCTAGTTCGACATCCTTTTTCATGAAGCGATTGATAAGAGTGATGCTGGAGATCGCAGACATTGGCGTCACTTCCAGATCATCTGTAATCATGTAGGTGACCACTCCCTTCACAAAGCCTCCAACACCCTCTCCTGCATTTCCAGAACTAACAGAAGAAGCAGAACCCGGTGGAGCCACGAAGGCGACTTCGATGACCATCGCATACTTGCAGGTTGGGCACACGGTACTTCTCACAGTAGCGACTTTTCTATTGCAAGAAGTACAAAGATAGTATTTGAGCTCTGCAGTAGAGGTTTCTGTGCCAAGAAGCAAATGATTGTTAACATAAGTGGATGCTTTGGGTTGAAGTAAAGAGGCTTTGTATTTGTTTGCTGCAAGATAGATCTCGTTAAGATTTTCTACGCTTTGATAAAGTTTTCCAAGAGATCCAATCATGGTTGCAGGAGAGAGGAGCTTAATAACAGAGCCTAGTGGGAGGGTAAGAAGGCTGAACAAGAAATCTACAAAGTCTTTACCAGCCTCACCGAAAAGAACTTTGTTGCTACGAACATCGATCAGAAGTTTAAGAGTGATTTTTGAATTCAAACCTGCCATGGCTTCTTTGTAGAGCCGTGAAAATGGGAGGATTTATTGATTTAAGAAGACAAGAAATGCAGACTAGAAATTGTCACTATTGGCTCGATGATGCGCAGGAAAAGAAATGCTGCCGACTATAAATTGGGAAGGTAAACAGTCCATCGGAAGAGTCTCTTGAAAAGCCTACAAAATAAATATAATTATTTTATTTAATGATAATTAAGAAACCATTAATATACTTAATTAAACATTGATTTAATTAATTTTTTAGTGGGGGCCATTAGATGTGCAAACGAGTTGAGCTCGAGCCAGGGGTGTTCGAGTCGAGCTCGACTATCAAAACCCAATCTCGAGCTCAAGCTCGAACTCGAGTCGAGTTTGAAATCCGAGCTCGAGCTCGAACTCGAGTCAAGTTCAAAATCCGAACTCGAGCTCGACTCGTTGTCCTGTCGAGCGGCTCGTAGAGCTCCGCTGTCGAGCCTGTCATCGCGTCCGTCATCCTGAGACCCGAGTTCCGTCCCTTGTTTTCGCGTCCATCGTCCCAAGATCCATCATCATCCAGAGCTCGTCCGCCGTCGATTTTCGTCGTCCCAACCTCGTAGTCGCATCCGCCGTCGAGAACCGACGTCCCAAGCTCGTCCGTCTTCTTCCTGAGCTCTGTCGTCGAGATCCATCATCCCAAGGTCATCATCCAGAGCTCGTCCCCCATCATTCTCTCAGTGATTTTAGATTTTATCGGTGAATAGAAAGAGAAGGAAGAAAAATCATCTAATAATCTAATATTGGCACAATCATTTCTCTCCAAATCACAAGAAAAGAAAGCCCACTTAAGCATTTCCCATTCCCTTCAATGATCTCACCAACTTGAAAGAAAGAGGACACATCACCATGTCATTTTAGTGGATCACTAAGCTCAAACTTTACACCCAACTCAAGCAAAAAAGAAGTTTCCATTTTACTTTCCATCCAAAAAGAAGCTTTTTTTTTTTTTCCAGTGCATTTACTTTGTATTTCCAAGATTCTTTAATGAAAAATACATACAATCAAACTAAAGGCACTAAAATAAAGGCTTATGTGCCTCACCATAGATAGGCTAGACAGTTGATAAACTGCCCCGTGATTCGCCACCACGCCATGCCATCAGTCAATTTCTCTCCTTTTCCGTCCGAGCCAACTCAAAGATATAGAGAACTCTAGAACTCTGCCTAATATCGATTACCACTACTAATATCCTATTAATTTTCATTAACTAACTATCATCACCCAATCAATATTAGATCCCACCAATCGACGCGGGCATCCACAAATGCTTAAGTGGGCTTTCTTTCTTGAGATTTGGAGAGAAATGACTGTGCCAATATTAGATTATTAGATAATTTGTCTTCCTTCTCTTTCTATAAACCAATAAAATCTAAAATTTTAGGTTCATTTAGTTATGTGCTTTCTTAAGCACTAGAGTTATTTCAAAACTAACAATGTATGAGGTAATTCCAGGTTCATATTGGTATCTTAGTCCTGCTTGTTATAGCATGCATGGCAGGCTAGCTACTGTTACTGCGGCTTCGTTTGAGACGGTTTTTTTACTGCTTCTTAAAGAAGCTTTTTAATACAAGAATTAAAAATTTTGTATTAAATTTTTTTTTAAAAAAGCAGTAAGAAAGTCGTCCCAAACGAAGCCTAAAAGTGTGCAACTACTCGAAAATTTCTTGAATCTGTATATTATACGAAATTTTCCTATATTCATATCAGCTTCTTACCCAAGCGAGATTTCTGAATGTTAATTTAGGCTTATGTGCTGCAATTAATGTTTGTGTTGCTTTATTTATATCTAAATTGTGCTGTTCATGAGCTTACTTTTATGCCTTATATTTTGAAAGCTTTCTGCGAGTTCTAAAAGAAGCATCAGGATTATGGTAATTCACAGCTTGCTACTGTTTGTATCTTCAGCAAACTTACAAGCAAAATCTCGACTCATTTGGTTACTTATAGATATAAATAAACTTAGGAAACATAAATTTTATATTTATATGAAAAAAGTTGTATGAAAATATTGTGATCATATTTTATATCAGGATGTTTGTTAAAGACTTTGGATCTGCTTTGAGATGAGTATTATATTTATGTTGCACTCTTTTCAAAGCAGATTCAATGATTCTAAAATCCATCCCTATCAATTTTTTTTGGAAAAATTTGGACTTAGCTCGTATATTAATGAGATAAAAGGTTACAAAGTAAAAAATAAAACTGCCTCATATAAATAAAGAGGCAAGCCCAAAGCGAGCTCAAAAAAACACTACCATAAAACAGGGTTAACAAAACAGCCAAAAAGAAACAGAGCTCCGTCGCCAGAGATGCCTAGACTCAGGGTAAATAAACAGCACATCACAGATAACTCAAACCCCTAGTTGCCCGAAGACCATCCAAAGGTGAGCTTCAAGATGGAGCCTCATCATCGTCACAGGCAAGGCAAAACCTCCAGAAAAAACCTCCAGCAAACCCAACAGTCAACAGCTCTATGCACCAACTTGAGCCCCAGAAAAACCTAACTGAAAAACATCTCCAGAAAACCCAAACCATAACAAATGGGACATCTTAGAATCCAGTAGGCTACGAGAACAACAAAATAGTCCCAAAACCAAAAATTCAGAGCAGCAACTCAGATGCTCAAACCGCCACCCAGCTAACATATCCAAATATTTTGGTGAGTTCCTCCACTTAATGACTTTCTCAAAAATAGCTTTTTTAATGCATAAAGAGGTTGTGGTGCTGCTACTTATTTTATTCCCAAACCTCATGGAGTTCCTTTCTCTCCAAATACAGTAAACACAACCACGGGAAATGAGAAAGTATAAATTTTTTACCCCATGTTGAAAACTTTGCTCACTATCAATCCATTCAAACAACTGGAGAATAGAGGGTCTAAAAAGCATACTCGAGGAGCCAGATATAAGTGCCGAGACTCGAGAGGATAGCAAACAAATAGGAACACTCAAAAAATCAATGGTTCACACTTTCAGGGTGAATATGGCATAAACTGCATATTGGAGGGACAAAAATATTTCTTTTATGCAATTCATCAGCAGTTTTCAATCCTCCAATAATTGTTAGCCAAGTGTAGCACAAAAATCTCATAGTATTTTTAGGCCGCCAAACCAAGTTATACCATGGACAAGTAGACTGATTTGAGTCAAACTCATTGATATAATCAGAATGCTTACTTCTAGGTTGATTTCCCCACATAAGACAATTGTAAGATTCCTCCACAATACAAAGATTCTGGATAACATTAATGACAGAGGGTGGTATGGAATCAGGCAAAACCTAGTTATTGCCAAAAATAAAGTCTCTTACTAAAGAGTAGGGGTGTCAATATTTGACACGACATGAAAATCCGATCTGGACCCCACCGAAAAATTCGGGTTGGACCTGACCCGATTTAAAAACGGGTCGGATTCGAGTTCCCGTATTTGACCTGTTTGAAAAAATGGGTCGGGTTTGGGTTGACCCGGCGGGTTGCCCGATCAACCCGAAAACCCGTTTAATTAAAAAAATTTGGATTCCAGCCCGCTGCCCCCGCCCGCGCTGCCCGCTGCCCCCGCTCGCTGTCCGCTACCCTCGCCCGCACGGCTGCTCTTACTAAAGAGTCAGAATTAGTGGCATGCAGTAAATGATGCCCATCAGTAAATTCCTCTAGCTTACCATTATAATACCAATGATCCCAATGCATGAAAATGGGGGCCTTAGTAGTGATCTTAAAGGAAAATTTTTCCTTTGCTATTGCAGCCGTAGATATCTTGACATAAAGTTTTTGTGTGTGTGTGTTTGTATTATCATTCAATTGAAGTTATTAGAAATTAATATGAATTTTGAAATTTACAAACAACATAAGAAAAAACTTTAGAAAATAAGAATTTACTTTCACATGAAATTAAAATTAAAATTATGATTTTTATAAAATGTGTTTTACCAATGAGAAATTTTTGTTTGGAATTTTGTCCATTGCATCAATGCCAATACTCTTTCCCCATTTTTGAGACATTGATGAAAGTTTTATTCAAAGAAAATCTCTGTTGAGCATGACTTGCTCTCTTTGCTTCTTGAAATGGCTGTTGCTGCTGCTAAATTATGTCTATAGCAGCTGTTGGAATAATTTCTATAATAATTTCTGTTGAAATGGCTGTTGCTTCTTGTTGGCATTAACACCCTTACACCATCATGCCTTGTTGTTTAATAAAGCTAAACAGTTCAAATTGGTATATGGTACCTTTCTTCCTGAGAGCAACTATTGAAGATTATAAGAAAAATAATTTATTTCTTTGAATTAAGTGGGAGAAATTTATCCCAATTCTCGAGATTTTTCTTGCAGGCTTTTCAGTTATTTTATGTAACTCTCAAAGATCAAATTTGAAAAAATTGTCTATTTATCATTTTAAAAATATATTAAAGCTTCTATACATTATCAATATAATTAATATCAATCTAAAGCAACTAACAATTATATATCTCAAAATATTGCTCTATATTTATTCTCCTAAAATCAATATACAATAGGTAGGAGATCCGTGAAATCACTAATCTATCACAAGCTCATGACTACAAAAGAATAAAATAAAATGCAAGACAAAATTTAAAGAAAACCTGAGAATCTCTATCAATATCACTCCAACTGGTAATGATCCATTCGCTGACCTGAAATCATTTAAAACATATATAATGAGCTAAGAAATTCATCAAGTAATCAAAACTCTATCAATGCTTTCAATGCAAGACATATAATACACTAAGATATTTGCATGAAAAATTCTAAAAAAAAAGGAAAAAAATCTCTAGGCCTTGCTTAGTTAAAATGATTCTATAATGTTGGTGGTTGATTTTAAATGATACCCTTTTTAGGGGGAAGGTGTTGGCTCAATATAATAAATATATATTATATGAAGTACATTATGTAGTTGGAGTTAGAAGAATCCAATAACATGAGAATTATTCTTAAGACAATGTTGGCATGTTCATAAAGATTATAGTCGGACAACATAGGTCATAATAATATTAATCAGTAGGCTACGTTGGTCGAAGGGAATATAGTCATGCATGTGACAATGGTCAAAGGGATCAAAGGCGACAAGCAATGATGGTAAAAAAAACTGTAGTCGATGGACGATGTTGATCAAAGGAATCATAATCATCGGACAACAATGGTCGGATGAACTGAAGTCAGCATGCGTTAGTGATCGAAGAGATAGTAATCGATGGCCAATAGTGATCGAAGGAACCTTGATCGGCAAGCGACGAAGGTCGAAAAGACCATAATCGGACAATGGTGGTGGTGGTACAAAAGTTGACGGGGGACGGAGGTCGGAATGACCACAGTCCCGACCTCCGTCGGGCAATGATGGAGGAGGTATCATTGTTGAAGGGCGGCGAAATTTAGAAAGATTGTTGTCGAGTAACGATGATAAAAGTATCGTAATTGTGGGGCGATGGAGGTTGGAAGGATCACAGCCGGGTGGTGATGGTCAGAGCATTCGTAGTTGGTTGACAACAACGATAAGAGGAAGGCCTGAAAGTGGCTGTCAGATGGAGGTCCAATGACGATGGACTGGAAAAGGTCTAGTAGTGGCAGCCTAGTGACTCAGATTTGTTGGTGGTGGTTATAGGATGGAGCTTCAAGATTCCATAGTAAATTTGGAAGGTTTCATCGGACAGCTTATATCAATTTTCTTGATCATGGAGAGTTCTTTAAATATTTATATACTTTACCAATGTCGGAATTCAATGATCGTGAGCTCATTGGATTCTTCTCGTCGAGCTGCTCGATTCGACTATAAGCATGTTATATTTAGATATCATTTTGTCATTCAATTAATGTTTTGAAGCATTCAAAAAGACTTTGGTCTTTTGATTTGGATTCATTTAGGCAAGGATTGGACCAAATTTAGTGTACTTGGGTTTGTCTCCTTGATATGTTCAATTGGACTATAAGTTTGCCGAAATTGGAGTTTGAATGGTCCCAAAATTAATTTTGAAAATTGTTAAATTTGCATTGGGATTTTTCCAATAAGAAGATATTTTTGTAACATATAAGTATAAATTTTATTCATATTGAATATGAATTTAATATCTTCAACAAATTAGTGGTATGCTTTTTTTATTGTAATGATAAATGTCATAAACATAAATGTCATTCATGATATTCTTTAAATTAAATATTTATTAAATTTTTACATAAAATTTAATTTGTAATTGATCTCATGTTTTTTTTTTAATTAAATTTATATTTTACATTTAATTCATACATCTAAAATTTTAAAAAACTAAAATGCCATCCCTTCATAAAATTGGAAGCTAATTTTAAAAAATTTAAAATATATTAATATCCAATTATATTTAATTAAATAATAGAATATTCTAAAATCATCTTAAATTAAAAAAACATTTTTTCCAAGCTTCACTCAAGTAAATGAGCCTGGAAGAAAAAAATTAGGGCCTCGCTCTCTTGGCTTCTTCTCGGAGCTCGCAACCCTAGAGCGCGCAATCCCTGCCTGGGCGTCGCACTTTCTCCCGTAAAATGCATTGCCGCCATGTCTAATAATCAGTACCGACGCATTTCGGCGAGGAAGAGAGAGAAGGGAGTACCTGCTACTAAAAGTTTGGAATTTGGCAGCTTGACTGAAGCTTCAAAAATCTCTTACAGGTTTAACAAATTTTAGTTTTATTTGTTAATGCCTACCAGTTTTCTTCTAATTCGACAAAATTTTGATTCTGATACAAATCTGAAAACATTCTAGCGGAGAAGCTTCTTTGTGTTTCTTGTGATTTCCATCTTACGTTAATCATTATGCATATTTCATGAATAGGGCAGCACAGAGGGCGGATTTTCTTGGATTTCCTGCTTTGGTCGAATTCAACACATTGATTGGATGGAGATTCTCTTTGTTGCTTTTGAGAGAAAACCCTCAGTCATTAGCCTTAGAGCCTCCATGTCGTTCCTTTTCTTTGCCAAATCTCAATAATCCTCATATAAGCCCTACATGAACCCCAATTATCTAATCCTCCATGAAAAATCTCTGCTTTCGTAGATTCTCCACTCAGGTAGACCTCATTAAAAAACAAATTGATTTCAATGTAAGATTCCCCTCTCCTGCAGTTCCCATCCCTCATCGCTCAATCCCTGACCTGCGGGGACATGATCTTGACTTTGTTAGCATTGTACATAGTCATTTGATTCATGGTGACTGGTTCAAGCTCAGTACCTTTGCCCATGGTCTTAATACCTTCAGAATCAAGCACATCCTTCTCAAAATCCAGAAAGACCCTGTCCTCTCCCTTGAATTTTATGATTGGGCCCTTATCCACAATCCTAATTCACAAACACTTGAGAGCCACTCTATTATCCTCCACATACTCACCAAAGCTCGTAGATTTAGGGTTGCTGAGTCCATTCTTAGGAAAGTTCTTTTGTCAAAAATCTCAACTTCAGACATTTTTTATGCCCTTATCAATTCCTACCGCCTTTGTCAGTCCTCGCCCAATGTATTTGACTCTCTTTTTAAAACATTTGCACACTTGAAGAAGTTTAGGAGTGCCACTGAGACATTTCACCATATGAGAGATTATGGTTTCCTCCCGACCATCCGATCATGCAATGCATTCATGAGCTCCTTGCTTGATCTTGGCCGGTACGACGTTATTCAGTCCTTCTATAGGGAGATGAATCGGTGTCGGATTTCTCCAAATTTGTATACTTTGAACATGGTCATGCTAGCATTTTGCAGTTCTGGAAGATTAGAGAAGGCTGTGGATGTTTTTGGAAAAATGGAGTTATTGGGTTTTAGCCCCTCTGTTCCTTCGTTCAACACATTGATTGCTGCATATTGTAAGAAAGGGCTTATGAGCTTCGCGGTGAAGCTGAAAAATGATATGCAAACCATGGGTTTGGATCCAAATGTAGTAACTTATAATACAATCATTTATGGGTTCTGCAAGGAAGGAAATTTGCATGAAGCTAACAAGATTCTAAGTGAGATGAAAGCCAAGGATGCCAGTCCAAACACTGTGACCTACAATACTCTTATCAATGGTTACATTAAAATGCGTAATGGAGAAATGGGTTTAAGGATTTATGATGAGATGCTAATGAACGGTGTCAAGCCCGACATTCTTACATATAATGCACTGATCTTAGGTTTCTGCAATGAAGGAAAGACAAAGAAAGCTACGCACTTAGTGAAAGAGATGGATAGAGAAAATGTAGTACCAAATGCTTCAACTTTTGCTGCTCTTGTTAGTGGACAGTGCAAGAAGCAAAATTCTGAGAGGGCATTTGAGATCTACAATGCCATGAAGAAAAATGGATTTCATCCCTATTATGAAACATTTAAGATTTTGATTACCACCTTTTGTAAAAACAAAGATTTTGAAGGAGCGCTCAATGTGTTGAAGGAAATGATGGAAGCTTGGATCACCCCAGACCAAGATTTGTTAAATGAGCTTCTAAAAGGACTGCAGAGCTCAGGAAAGACTCATTTAGCGAGAAGGTTTCTTTCTGAGCCTGATGTATCAAGGTTTAATCTTGAAGCTTTTTTTGATGTTAGCAACAGATCAAATCAGCTGGAAAATGCAACCGAATGATGTTGGTAGTATTCATTTAGCAGCTTGTGGTATAAGCTAGGGGAAGCACATAGAAAATGTTTTTTGGTATCTATATGCACAAAGGATTTCTCTTTATTAGCTCAGCTTGGAGAAGTTTATTTGATTTGTTCTGGACAAAGCTTACACTTTTTCCCCGTTCCATGTGAATGTTGGTAATTACTTTTTTTTTTTCACTTTACATTTATTTTTAACAATTTGTATGGCGCTTGTATTGTCAACATGTAAAAGAGTGAGATATTCTTGAGAAAAACTAAAATCATACAGAACCATGTAGTTGGATAAGTTTTGAACAGTGTAGTCATTGCAAAATATTTAGATTCTTTAGATGAATTAGATAGATGTGGTTGTTTCTTGCTCTTTGATGAGATCAAAGAGCCACCAAGGAACATAAACCATCCTATGATTGATTGTAGAGTATCAGAACACCTTGCTCTGTGCGGATACTGGACGGGAGAACCGTCCGGTACCGAGCGCGGTACCGAGCGGTACTAGCGCTCGCTACCGCTCGGTATCGCGCTCAATACCTAGCGCGGTACACTTTTGGGGTGACGTGGTGCATTTTTATTGGTCTCTGACTCTCTGGACGCCGTCCGAACTCCACACATAATAATTTTTCCATCGGATGAGAGTGAGAGCCAAGTGGAAAGTGCAAACAACGACTTGGTGTCCTAATAAGATATATAATAATTCAATGAACAATAGCTAAATGTAATTGATGATGATTTTGCATAAACTGACTTATTTGCTAGATTGTGAAGGAAATATCTGATCGAGTTATGGTCAAATGATTTAGATTACCTACAAACTGTTTATATGTGGTGGGATTAGAGAGAAGATCACCTTGCTGGCTTGCTCACTATAATACTTTGTGTTTACTTTTAATAGAGTATCTGTAGGGGAAGTATTTTGAAGATTTGCTGAAGTAATCAAATCCCTGTTAGTCTTGGAATGCACCAGAGGAATTTGTGTGTACTTCCAAACCTCATAATTTATAACTTATATTATAAATTTAATTTTATTCTTAATATCATCATATTGTTAGTCAAAAATTTATTAACTAACCTTATTATAATTACTAAACATGCATCTTATGAGCTTAAGTATATATTTAGAAGTAAGTATATCATCTGAGAACCACCACATCATCATTACACTTTATCTTAAAATCTTGAAGGTAATTTAGTTATAGCCATTAAATATTCATTGTATTGACATATTCAATTACATAGAGGTGACCTTTCTCAGTTGTTGAGACCTTTGAGATCTTTAACTTTGAATAAGTATGTTTAACACTTCACAAACATATTTTGTGGTTACTATGAAAATATATGATTCATTAATTTTAGGTATCATAGTGTTCCATAACTATGACATAATGATGCTCTCTTTTTCATCCCAAAGTGCAAACTTTTGGTCTTTCAGATTCATAGGAGGATCTGCCAGATGTATTTCTTTTTTCCTTAAGAAATATCTTCACAAATTGAGATCACTTTATGTAGTTTCATTCATTCAAATGATATGAGGTTTTTAACCCTTGTAATTCTTCCTTAGTCTACTTTCATCACAAATGATGAAGGACAGTAAAAAAAAATCTCACATGATGAGGAGAAGCAATGTAAGATAGGAAAAAATAAAGGTTGGAAAGAGGGCCCTAACTTTACTCTGATACCATGTAGAAAGGAAGTGGCTAGAAAACTTGATTTGATTATTCCTCCAATGGGGTATTCATACACAAAGCGACCTAGAGAGTAAAAGGAAATATACGAAAATACTAAGCCTGCCAAATCCATGCCCAATGGAGCAATTTGTCGCTTCCTTTTTTCCTTTCTTGCACTAGGATTGAGCCCGTTTGAGCGATTTTGTTTTTTTAAACCCAATCCGCCACCTCATGAATCCATGGCTTCTTTACCTTTCTTGCTATGCCAATCTTGTCTGCCTACTTGTCTTGCTAAAGGGGTGTCAATTTCGGGTTACAGGTTGGGTTCGGGCCGAACTCGGAACTGATCCAACACTATTTGGGTCAACCCGAACCCCACCCATTTTTGCAAACGGGTCGGTTTTCCAGACCTGAATCCAACCCGCTTCGGGTCCGAGTCAACCCGACACGGCCTGAATGACCTGGGGCATACCAAAAAGTGTTTTTTTTTTTGCGTAAAAAAATGGATCAATCTCCTCTTTTCGGGTAAAAAACGGTCGAAAAATGGGTCAATCTCAGGTTTTCGGGTCAAAACCGGTCAATTTCGGTTCAAAGGGTCAACCCGAACCCGACCCAATTTTCGAAACGGGTCGAATTGTTGAACACAAATCCGACCCTTTTTAGGTCCAGTTTGACCCTAACCCAGAATTTTCTGATCGGATTCGAGTCAGATTTTCGGGTCATGTCAAATATTGACACCCCTATCTTGCTAGTCTTTCAACAAGTCTGCTTTTTAATCTAAAACCTAGCCCCAGCTTTTGCTGAGGCCATCAAGTTCCACAGGCTACAGAATCCTGAGCAGTATGGCAAATTATTATGTCCGGTGTCCGGATTCATCCGGGCACCAATCCAGATGCGCCATGTCACCAAAATACACCAGGACCCAGTGTATTCGGATGACATGGTGCCTCTGGATTGGGTGTTCGGACGTCCGGTGACCGGACGTAATAATTCGCCCAGCAGTAGCAGCCATTGCTGCCATCTATATGGTTGGCAGGTTGGGCAATGGGAAACTAGGAAAGAATTCATCTACTCCAAAAAAGAACTAAAGAAAATAAATTATGGGAGAAGTTGTTCCAAGGCTTCGTTTGGGATGACTTTTTTAATGCTTCTTAATGCAACTTTGCGGTAAAAAAAATTGATTTTTTTACTAGAAAAATGGTTAAAGAAGTAGGAAGAAAGCCGACCTAAACGAAGCCCAAGTGATGTCTTTGAACGATGATTTCCATAATGTTTGAATGGAAACTTATATGAAATTTGAGTTAGAATATTTTGATTTAAGTCATTATATTTGCTTTAAGATGAGTGCAATTCATGATATATCTCTACTCAAAATTCTCTCCCTATGTTTCCATTTTTGTGTATAAGCTCACATTGAAACATTAGGCGATATTTTCAGCTGCAGCTAAAGCTGCTTTCTGAGAACTGTTATGTTTTATTTTATGAGCCTTGGTTTTGTAGTATTTGAGGTATTATTTGTAGCCATCTTATTGAGCTTTCTGTAATAAACTGTTACAATAATCTGAACTTTGGTTTTTCTTTCCTAATCTCACAGCCAAATTGAATAAAACACTACAGATACAGTGCTTAATTGTGCAATAAACCTTGATTTAAATATCAAGTATTGCTTTTTAAAAATAAGACCGGACGGTTTAAATACTCTCTAAGGGATTTTTTGGTTGGAAGTAAAGTGGTTGTAAAGTATTTTTTGAGGGATTTTAAAAACATTAGTGTTAGGTTGGAAGAAAAATGATTATAAATGTAATGCAAAGAATTTTAGCTCATTTTTTAGATAAAATAAACTCATCCAATTTTGAGTGAATTTTTTTTTTTTTTTCACACAACCAAGCTATTTTGTCACCACCATTGTCGACCATTGATCACTACTTGCCACCACTGTCACCCTCGGCTAGCGCCGCCGATCACTAGTTATCATCAATCACCACTGCCCTCGTCGTCTACTACTAGCCAACATCATTGATCGTTGCCGCCTCCATCTGCCACCACTGTCGCTGGCATTGTTACCTGCCACTATCATTTTGAATCTTACTCTACCCTCATTTACTTCAAGTTAAATAAAATAATAATAATATCAAATCCAAATAATTTCAAACATTTTAATACATTGTATGTCTTTAACATTGTATTTCTTTTTTTCTTTGCCCAGCCCACAATAAGAAAATGTCCACAATAAGAAAAAGCTATTCTCTAAGAACAGAAGAAGTAACACATTTTAGTTGTTCTACAAATACGTTGTTAATAATAAAAATATATAAAGATACATGAAAAGTAATAAATTTTTATTTAAATATTTATTAAAATGAGTATTATTAATCTCTACTTAAAAAAAATAAAAATAATTTATTTAATTATCCAATTAGTAAGTAAAGTTTACATATAAAAAATAATTTATTCATAAATTTAGAGCCCACGTAGCTACTTATTATAAAAAGAATAGAGACCCCTACCAAACAAAAGAAGACAAAAGAAGACCTCATCGGTCTTCGGGCTGTCAGCTAAGTACCACTGCACATAACAGAGCCATCAAGCTCCCTTCCATCAGAGCAGTTGGCCTGAAAGACCCTGTAACTACTGTAATCTCTCTCTCTCTCTCTACTGTAATCTTTCTCTTTCTCTCTCTCTCTCTACTGTAATCTTTCTCTTTCTCTCTCTATCTATATGGTGCTTACATCACTTCACTTTGTGATCATGCATGGATATCACCGCCAGTTTTGTTTCTCTTTGTTTTGTTCTTCTTCTGAGCTGGTCGTGCTTTCATTCACAAGGGAAGGAATGAGATGTAAAAGGAATAAGGACGAGAGAAGAAATCCATAGGCATTTCTCTTCCCAATATCGGCTACTTGCTTGGAAGAAAGGCGAGTGATTCAGGCTAGCTGTAAGTTGCTAGCTATGTCCCTCTCCCTTATATTCAACGGTCTATTACTTGCCATTATTCCAAGGCTTTTATTTATTATCATCATATAAGGTGAGGGTTATAAAACTTATAATGCTTGTGTTATCAATAATATTTGTATATTTTTTTAGAACGGGATATCTACCCATTTACATCTTGTAAGGATAAATTATTCTTAGCGGACATATAGTGTTTGGAGGTGAATCAGAATGCGTCATATCACCCGGTACGTACATAGCCGTGGTACATAGTAAAAAGTGATGTGGTGCGTTATATCCACACATAATAATTTCACCGTTGTAAGAGGCGCATGATGCCGCAACTAATATCTCAACGAGCCTACAAGCAATTGGCCACAGGTGTAAAACCTACAGTTATTTTCAATTATATTTGTATTGATATGATGAATTTGTATTTATGTGCAGTGATTTGTGAGATAGAATAATTTATTGTATATTTCGGCTGTTCGGTATATAGATGAATAGTCATATATTTAGTTGTATGACTGTTAAAAAATATTTTTTAAGATTTTTTTTTGAAAATGAAAATAAAAATTGAATAATGATGAAGAAAATTCAAGAGAATTTTTTTTTTTTATTTTGCATGTAAAACTATATATAATTTTTAATCTCAATATCATATGCTTGTGATATATAGCATAATAATTATGTGTTTATTTAAGCCTTCATTTGCTATCTACTTTTTGTGCTTAAAAACATTTTCAAGTTATTAATAAATGAGATCGGCATATATCTTTAGGATGGCAATTGAGTTAAGCTAATTCGTAAGCCGACTCAGACATGAGTTGATAAATAGCTCGTGAGCCAAATTTTTATCGAAGTTTAATTTTTCTCGTTAATTTGCGAGCTAGCTTATTTGATAAAATAGTAGTATCAAATGCATTAAAATATATCATTATTATAGATTTCAAGTACAAATTTGTTAAAACTATTTAAAAATTATATTTTATTTGTCTTCTATTTTTTATCATTTTATTATAATAATTACATGAGTCAAATACATTTTATTTTTTTAATAATAAACGAGATTTGGCTCAAACTCGTAAACTAATGGTTGTGCTTGAGCTCGAATTTGATCAATTAATCAAAATCAAGCTCAAATCAGAAGTGACTTGAGCTAGGTTCGACTTATTTACAGTACTCTTATATAGTTGTAATCTGAAATTAAATTATCATTACCATTAACTGAACTGATTAACCCTTTTAATTATTAGATTAGCGATGTAAACTGGTTTATTATTTTATCCAAATCAATCTCAATAAAAAAAAAATTAATCTCGAAAGTTACGTATATTTATAAATTTACCATTTACACTCACAATGGACAAAAACAAAGCTTTCTCCGTAGAAATACAGAAAATTAAATGAGATTGGGAGGAATCCAAGGAGCAGCTTGTGGTCGCTTATGCGGTAGAGTTTATCGGATATGATTATCATATAAATTTATTAAAAAAATTATTTATTAATTTACTTTAAGATTAGTGTTCATTTATTATATATAAATTATATCCATTTTAAAATAAATTATATGAATACAATTTAATCTATCTAAATATGAGTGATAATATTTATGAGAGCAATGATTTATCTGATTTCTCGTAGGCTTGTTGAATTTCCAAATGCTTCATTTGGAATTTTAATGAAATTAAAAAATATATATTATATTTTATATTAAGATAAATTCAATAAAATTAAAAAATATTTTTACAATGTTGATCGATAATTATGGAACTAATTTTCTTAATTTTTAAATAAATTTAATCATAAATTTTTTACACACATCCATATATATA